AGGGCGTGGGAGTTTATCTCCTCATATGAAGAATATGTAGCGACTTTTACGGACGGAGCCGTCCGTCCTTTTACGGACGCCCCCCCCCCCCTTCTCTTCGTATGGGGAGGGGGGGGGACAGCATCAAGTTCCAGGGGCACCACAGTTAGGCGTGGTCCCTCCCTTGACGAAATCCTGTATCCGCTCCTGGCCACTCGTGCGCCTTGCACAAGTTCTTTTTCGCTCCCAGCGAAGAACTTCTACCCATCTATCGCAACTGCCGTGAAAAAAAAATGGTAACGCGGCTGGAACAGCGAGAGTAACAGCAAGTTAAGGACAATTAAGTCAGCGTTAGGCCTCTGGCCGTCTAGCTTGCGAGTGGCTAGGTGTGAAGAAGTCGTTCTGTGCCGTCTGCGAATTTGCCATACCTGTACAACACATGATCACTTGTGTATTGCTGGGAGACCTCAATGCCCGAAAGACTGCGCCAGTGGCAGTTAATGTGCGTTACTCCTGTTCACATTTCAAGGGAGAACGAATCAGTCATGTTGGACGACGAGCGACGTTTGGCTTACCGTGACATGTCGGAAAACGACTCTTTATTATTACACTCAAACCGGTTGTTTCTCTTTCCTGGAGACATCATTTTCAGCTATAGTTACTCCCTGCTAGTGAACACATAGCACGTCCCTAAATAGCCGTTATGGGCGCAGTACGACCTTTGATGTCGATGCATCCCAAAATCTCAAATCATCATCAGATCAAATCAACAGATAAGTATCAGTATCATCGCCTACCAGTCGCGGCGAACGACCAGTACTCTCCGCAGCTACCCAGGCCTCTTGGTTACAATGAATATTTGGCAGTATTTACCTGGCATTTTACAATATCCCCCTGGTATCCTCGATGCATGTAAGTATACATCAGTTTAGTTTGATAAAACCCTCAGTTTTTAATTATATCGTAACTTGCTTTTGCATAGCTTATCACTTTGTACAATATGCGGATGAAATTACAGCTAGATTCTACTGTCGGTATTTGTTCAACATTTGAGATTCGTGCTAGGAACATCCTTTGCGCCTTCTGTCGAACGGCATCCAGCAAGGAACATGATTTTGATGCTGCCAGTGGCCGTGGGCTCCTCGAACCAGTCAAGCCAAGCTAGTGGCTGCCGTATGAGGAACAGCGCGTCCTGTCAATGACATTGCAAAACCTTGCTTACCAGAAGTATTGCACTGTGTTTTCTCACACGCATCAGAAGCATAATTAAGGATTTTACACGATTTGTAAGCTCTTCACAGCAAAACCAAATGACATCTGGCTGACATTCGCTTCTCTTAGGCAATCAAATATGTCACTTTAAGAAGCCACAAGCTTGGAATATACAAGTTATTTGTATATGCTATACCAACAAACGTCAACTTTTCAGCCACTTGCCACAGTTCCACATGGAGACACGCTTCCGGTTAGTTACCCTGTGCGCAAGAAACGCACACCGCAGCTGTGGTGAGTTGCAGAAAGCGAGGCGTCATTCTGCTCTTTTTTAATGCGTGGAGCAAATAATGAGGGGGACAGGGTAATTGTACGAAGGAGATTGATGTTAACGTCACTGGTGGATAGAAAGCCTAGATTAAGCAAGGGAGATTTGATCCTTGACTCCATACCGTGCCAATTATCAGGGGGTGCAAGTCGCAGTTTTCGCCCATAAAACTGGTTGACTTCCGCTATAGCCATCCTCTTCTCTCTGGCCTCTATTGTCTTTTGTCTGGGGAGGGCGTCTGGTACCGCGCCGGCCCCTGGTCCTTGTTTTGAGTCCGTGACCCAAATCGCGGCCCTTTACTGGAGCCCCGGCTCCCAACCAGTGCCGCTGATCCATGACCTGGATCACCTTCCCGAGACCTGTGCCGCCGACCCGTGACCCGAGCCGCCGACCCTCGACCTGTGCCGCCGACCCGTGACCCTGACACGTGTCGCCGACCCATGACCCGTGGTGTTGACCTGTGACCCATCCCCACCGTTTCCAGGCGAGGCCGGCGTGCTGAAGCTGACCGACTTCGGCTTCGCCAAGGAGATCTTGGCGCGTGACTCACTGCAGACGCCGTGCTACACGCCCTACTACGTAGCGCCGGAGGTGCTGGGACCCGAGAAGTACGATCGCATGTGCGACATCTGGAGCCTGGGCGTCATCATGTACATCCTGTGAGTGTCGTCGGGCGGGACCGAGGCCCGTCGGCCGATGCCGGTGCAGGGTCTGTTGGCCCGGTGCCCGGGGACCGAGGCCCCCGGCCGATGCCGGTGTAGTACCGGTTGGCCCGGTGTCCGGGGACAGAGGCCCCCAGCCAATGTCGGTGTAGTGCCGGTTGACCCGGTGCCCGGGTTGCGAGGCGTGCTGTAGTATACTTTGTTTGCAGGTGAACTGCTGGGTAACCCCTTGTTGAAAGTCGGGGTTTTGCTACTTTTGTGCATGTCAGGTTCGTTGCATCGTCACGTTTGGCGTCAGTGCGCTGTTGAGAGTGCGCCCTGTCTGTTTTAACGATACAGCATGACTTGTTTCAGTTTTGTAAGTTTATTAACTTACAGGTCGCGTTCCTTGGCCGTAGCATGGCCTTGGCCTGTTTGGTAGCATTGCAAGCAGTGTCAAAACATCACAATGATTTTACGTGTAAACCGCTACCATTGCTTATGATATCGCGCGTAGGAACCCGACCTGTCCCAGAATTCTTTGTGGACCTTTAGCGAATTGTGTGTTGCTGCAGTCACTGTCAAGACATCCTTGTCATGATCTACCATTATCGGTGCTAATGGTATACCATGTACCATGCTGAGCCACGCCGTACGTCTTTGGTGGACTGCCAGCCATGTGAAGTTTAGCTGTGCAGGTACACAAAGGCTGACCCCGTTAGCCGTTGCAGTTGTCACCAGTTTGTTTATCGCATTCCGGTGCGCCCATTAATCGATTCACTGGACGCTGGCGATCGCTTCGTGTCGCCGACAGCACGTGCTCTGCCGCGCAGTGTCCCCTGTGCTAGCGGTGACCTCTGGTGACGGCAGCTGACCGTGCCGGCCGCAGCCTGCGCACCACGGCGCAGAATCCCACTGTATAATGTCCTAGTCAAGGCTGACGCCGGCCTACGTGGCTGGGGGAACCGGGCGCCGCCGGCCCGCGTGGTCGGGCGGACCGGGCGCCGCCGGCCCGCGTGGTCGGGCGGACTGGGCACCGGCGGCCCGCGTGGTCCAGCGGACTGGGCGCCGCCGGCCTGCGTGGTCCGGCGGGCCGGTCGCCGCGGCCCAACAGTCCCTGACCGCTGCGCGCCGCCGGCAGACTGTGCGGCTTCCCGCCGTTCTACAGTAACCACGGCCTGGCCATCTCGCCGGGCATGAAGCGACGGATCCGCGCCGGCGATACGACTTCCCCAACCCCGAGTGGCGTAACGTCAGCAAGGAGGCCAAGGAGCTGATCCGCGACATGCTCAAGACCAACCCGCAGCACCGGCCGACCATCGAGCAGGTCATGCGCCACCAGTGGATCGCGGTGAGCGGGGCGGGGGCGGATCGCCGCTGGCTGTCGGCTCACGCGGCGCATGCGCGCGGCGAGGCAGCACTGCACGGCACGGTTGGTGACGCACTGTCAGCGCGTGCGGTCTAGTCAAGGGAAGCTGATTGAGGACGTACGGATGGACGACCGGGGGAGAAATGAGAGAGCGATGTGCTGTGATGTGGGTGCGGACGTAACATTTTTTTAAACTCGGCATGGCTGTCTGCTAGCATCACTCGGTCATTGCTGTCGCGGCATTGCCACGGCGGTCGTCGTGGCGGTCGTCTGACCTCTGCCGCACCTCTCCGGCAGAAATACGCGGAGGTGCCGCAGACGCCGCTGTGCACGGCCCAGGTGCTGAAGGAGGAGGAGGACCAGTGGCCTGAGGTGCAGGACGAAATGACGCGCTCGCTCGCCACCATGCGGGTTGACTACGACCAGATCAGCCTGAAGAGCATCGCCAACTCGGAGAACTCGCTGCTGCAGAAGCGACGCAACCGAGCGGGCGGCGCCGACGCGGCCCAGAGCCAGCCGCAGCCCATGCAGATGTGAGGGGCCCGGCGGCTCTGGCTGCGGCCGTCGCGTCGTCGGCCGACCGCTCGCCGCTCGGCCTCCCGGTCTTATTTTTCGATATCATTTTACGACGACGAGCGTTAGAAATCATCGTTCTTACTTCTCGCCTCGCGCTCTCTGGCCGTGTTCGAAAAGCTGATTTCCCAGCTGGCGGCGGAGCCGTCGCCCTCTGTTGGGGAAAGACTGCGTCTGCCCTGTCGACGGGAACCACCGGCGTCGGAAGCCAGCGGTTAGCGCCTCGACCGTGGCGCACTGGACGGCGGGATGGACAGTCGCTTCGCGCGTAGTGGCCGCTGTCGCGTGCCGGCAGGGTCGAGCAGTGGGTCGACCACCTTCCTGGCCTCAGGGGGCGCGGGTGCGAAGCAAACTCGGGTACTAGTGAGGTGGATAGGGATCGGAGCGAATGCGATACGATGGGCGGACGGGCATGGTGGCCAGACGTGTATGGGTGGCGTAAAATGGCGTGTGGATGGGGCGTAACCTCGCACGGCCGACCCAGGTCGCGCCCGGTGCGGCTCCCGGCCGTCCGCGGCTGTTGTCTGCGGCAATGCTGTATGTATTCTGGATGTCGCCCGGCGCATCGTCTCAAGAGCGGTTGCACTTCCGAATGTGGTGCAGCGCACGTCCGTATCGTAGCGAATGCGCGAGTGGGTGTGGCCGACGGAAGGATAAGGGTGTACGCCACCGGTCTCTCACGCGGCTGGAGGTCGATAGTAGCGTTGGTTTCAGTGTTGGGGCGTCGACCACCCGGTCAGCCGACGCCGCCCACGGAGCGCCATCTGTCGTGCACCATTCCCACCGTGTCTCTTAACTGGCTCGCTGGTGGACCACTGTTTATCTGTTGAGTTTAACCCCCTGGGGGATGCCGCCGCTGGCATTATCTTGTCCGGGCTCGCTCGTGCTGTGGCCGGTGTCCCGGCGATGCACCCTGGTCAGGCCGCCCGCCGCGATACGCTGGCGTGCCCCGCTCCCTGGGCGACGGCCGCCACGTCCCACGCGACTCGCGTTACCTTGCGTTCCTCGCAGCGTTCTGGGATGCGGGCGAGCTGAGGCGCCGGCCCCAGCGACGTAGACACGGACCGTGCGCCCCTCGCGGCGCTCTGATGCCGGCGCGCCGGGGCAGGCTGAGGCGCCGATCCAAGCGAGGCGGACACAGACCGTGCGCCCCTCGCGGCGCTCTGATGCCGGCGCGCCGGGGCAGACTGAGGCGCCGATCCAAGCGAGGCGGACACGGACCGTGCGCCTCTCGCGGCGCGCTGATGCAGGCGCGCCGGGGCAGACTGAGGCGCCGATCCAAGCGAGGCGGACACGGACCGTGCGCCCCTCGCGGCGCTCTGATGCAGGCGCGCCGGGGCAGACTGAGGCGCCGATCCAAGCGAGGCGGACACGGACCGTGCGCCCCTCCCGGTGCTCTGTGATGCAGGCGTGCCGGGGCGGGCTAAGACGCCGACCGTAGCGAGGCAGACACGGACCGTGCGCCCCTCCCGGTGCTCTGTGATGCAGGCGCGCCGGGGCAGACTGAGGCGCCGATCCAAGCGAGGCGGACACAGACCGTGCGCCCCTCCCGGTGCTCTGTGATGCAGGCGCGCCGGGGCAGACTGAGGCGCCGGCCCCAGTGATGTAGACACGGACCGTGCGCCCCTCGCGGCGCTCTGTGATGGAGGCGCGCCGGGGCAGACTGAGGCGCCGGCCCCAGTGATGTAGACACGGACCGTGCGCCCCTCCCGGTGCTCTGTGATGCAGACGCGCCGGGGCAGACTGAGGCGCCGGCCCCAGTGATGTAGACACGGACCGTGCGCCCCTCGCGGCGCTCTGTGATGCAGGCGCGCCGGGGCAGGCCAAGACGCCAAGAGAGGCGGACACGGACCGTGCGCCCCTCCCGGCGCTCTGATGCAGGCGCGCCGGGGCAGACTGAGGCGCCGGCCCCAGTGACGTAGACACGGACCGTGCGCCCCTCCCGGTGCTCTGTGATGCAGGCGCGCCGGGGCAGACTGAGGCGCCGGCCCCAGTGACGTAGACACGGACCGTGCGCCCCTCCCGGCGCTCTGTGATGCAGGCGCGCCGGGGCGGGCTGAGGCGACGGCCCCAGTGAGGCGGACACGGACCTTTGTCGGCATGAAATGCCCCATCGCTGTGACAAACGGAGACGTGGAGATGGGAGGCATGGACTTGAGCTGCAGACCCGGGACTGGGGGTGAAGTTTGGCGGTAGCAACTCAGTGGAGCGCGCGAGTGTCACAGAATGTCATTTTTACGTTGTTGTCGTTTGCAGATAGTGACGGTATCACCTGTAGGCTGTCTTCGAGATGGGATTGGTCTGAGAGGACGTGCGAGGGATTTGGGCACCAACAGGGCCTAGAGATGTGTAACTAGAATGTGCGTGCTGGTTCAAAAAAGTGCGAGTGGTGTGATCTGTCATGCTGCCCAATCCTCCACGCGCTATTCGACCCGCATCCAATGGCCATCAGCCATCCGCATTACACACCATCGATGTTACAAACTGTGCACTGTTCTATGCAAGCAAGACCCGTTCCATGTGCGTGACACAACTCACAAACTATGTCGTTCCCCGGTGTTGCCTGGTAGCGCGCAACTGTCTCCCAGCTAAGTTTGACACAACACCCCGTTCACCACCACAGTGCGCAACCACAAATGATGGTGGCGCGCCGGCACCACATTGCGAGCCTGCCGCGCATGCGCACATCCACGCGAACCATGGTCTCCCGACTCGAACGTTGGTGTGGCTGCCACCGGTTCTGCTCTGTGCCGAGATCCTACCGACTCCGGGTAGGCATTAGCGGACAGGCGCGCGTGGGCCGGCGGCGCGACCTCGCTGTAAGAGGCGGGCGCATGCGGAGGCGACGCCGCCAGCTCGCTGCACGAGCTGTGGGAGGCGTCGGCTGCCGGTGTGACCTCGCCTTCACGGCGAGCAGCGGCGCCGCCGCTCGCCGGCCGACCTCCCGCCTGCGAGCCGCGGCGCGAGGCCCGCCAGAAGTGCCAAATGGGCGTGACGGGCGCGGCCGTCTGCGTGCGCGCGGCGACTCGTTTTACTGTACATAATCTTAACCCGCTGTGATGGTGCGAGGCGCACGGCGGGGTCGTATTCGGCGCCGCCGGCGATAATACATGGCCTCTAACCAACGCGTCTGTGTGGACACGACGGCAGTGAAGTGCTGCGCTGTGCCGCTGTCGGCACCAGGTGTGGCAGGTCTGCACAGGACGAGCACCGCTTGGAGACTTCTGGATGTGCGCACCGCTGCTGGTGCCCTGTTGTTTTGGAGGTGTGTTCAAATGCATTGTCGAGTGTTTGTGTCGCGCTGCAATACTTCGAGTCATGTTTAGAAGGAAGGCTTTGCCCGACGGCTTGCTCGGCCAGAGGCGAAGGATACTATTTGCGAAATCCCTGGAACGTCGACGTCGCGCATGGTGCAATGAGTGAAAAGGCTACGTTATTCCCCAAGGCGCCGCCGCTCCAACAGGTTGAGTGACCGGGACGGCTAGTGTACAACACCAGCGTCGAGATCACCGCCTGCGCACCCAAGTACCAACTTCGGCCACTGTAAGCTGCGGTTCGAGTTTCGGATGCGACGTTTCAGAAATGTATGCCGCCTACGTTTTGGTGCCCATTGGTGCTGCCAAACTGCCGATTTTCGCGTAACCCAAGCATTTTGTTTGCCTGAAGGCTATGCAGACTAAAGAACAGGCGTTGGTGCGATGACACTGCTGTATTTGGAAGGAGCGCGACTTGTTCATGCAGCAGTCATTTCAGGTAGTGATCTTTCGGCCCTTGTTGCGTGTCTGAAACCAACCACAACAGTAGCGCACCTCAACGTGCATGCATGCTACATCATTTGCCCAGACGCAAGGCGTTGGTGGGGGATCGTGTACTGTCGTTCATACAGAAATACTGACTTGTTTAACATTATCCACATTTCTATAACGGGTTCGGTCGTCAAAGAACGCCATCTATGTTATTCCAACGGCCCATCACCTCGACGCAGACTTGATATTGCACGGTTCCAGAGGCTAAACTCTGAGGAACTCTAAGAAGAACTGGCGACTGTCCTCTTTGTCGTAGAACGAAGCTCGCTGTCGCCCAACGCACATAACCGAATGTAAGTGTTACGCCAGCGTGTGTGAAAGTCACTAACATGGCTACGCCCAGCGGGCAGACGTAACAAATATGGCATGTACATAGCCAGGCTTGGGGGCCTTTCCAGATCTTTACCTCTGTTTTACATGGAATATGCATAGCGCACTGGAATACATGCACATTGGCGTGAGCGACCGTACGTCATTCGCCGCGCTCGGTCAGCGCTCTAGGATCTCAATAACGGTGAACCAACCAGCACCGCGACGGATGGCGACAAAAATATATCACGCGTCATCACAAGCGCCGCACCAGCACCGCCAGCATGCAGAGCGAGTGGGGCGGTGCAGGCGCGCCTCAGTTGTAGTTGTAGCTCTGGCGGGTGCCGGACATTTCGAGCAGGTAGCGGTCGGGGTTCTCCGCCCAGTCGGTATCGGCCATGATGTTGACCTTGCGCCGCTGCTCGACGGCGGCGCGGTCGCGCTTCTGCGAGCTGATCTGGCTGTCGCGGTCCGCCTTGGCACCACAGCCCCACACCTCGACGCCCTGCAGGCGGAACGGCGCGCCGCTGTGCGTGCACACGCTCATCTCGCGGTCCACCTCGATGGCAGGCGTCCGGCGGTCAGCGCCGACGCGCAGGCCCGACGGCAGGCCGCGCGCCGAGTAGTTGTAGAACATGACGTCCGGCTGGCCGCCGACCAGCACCTGGAAGCGCGGCAGCAGCTGCAGCGCCATGCAGTCGACGCCGCCCCAGCAGTGGGGCGAGTCGCGCCAGCCGCAGTCGGCCGCCACGCAGAACAGCCGACCCTCCTCGGCGCGCAGCAGCATCAGCGTCGGACCGCGGTAGCCGAGCACGTGGTGCTGCAGCCGGTTGGCGCTGAGGCCCTGCTCGTCCGAGCTGTACAGCGACACCCAGTGTTTGGGCGTGACGGCGCGCACCAGCCGGCCAATCGAGTGGCCCGGGTCGAGCCGCGCCAGCGCCGGCAGCGACGCCAGGCTCTCGGCCGACGACGGCCGCGTGTAGCGCTCCGGCAGCGCGCACATCAGCAGCCACAGAAGCGCCGGGTGCAGCGTCGCCTCGCTCGAGGCCGACGCGCTCTCCAGCACGCAGCTGCCGCCGGCTGGCTCCTCCGGCTCCGGCTCGGCCGGCCGCGCCGCGATCAGCGCGTGGCCTTCGGTGATTCGGTGCACCACGTACTGGTGCAGCCAGCGCACCAGACGGGGACAGTGTCGCTCCACCCAGTTGCGCGCGAACGTGACGCCCACCTCGTCGCGGCCGTGCAGGCACGAGTCGGCCACGCCCGCCAGGATGGTGTCGATGTTGAGTGAGCGAATCACCGTGTCCGGGTGTGCCCACATGGCCGCCTCGAACGCCTGCAGGATCATGCTGCGCAGATTCTCCGCACTTACGCTGTCGTGCTCGTCGGCGAACGTGCGCAGGTAGAACTGTGCCTGGTCGTGGTCCGAGATAAGCTGGTACACCTCCACGCAGCGCTCCACGAAGTCGCGCGGCGCGAGAACGTCACCGCTCGCCGCCGAAAGCCGCAAGAAGTGGTCAAACATGACATTCGCGATCGTGGGGTTCTTGTTGAGGAAGGCGGAGGTGAAGACGTGGCGGCTTATACCGTCCTCCGTCTCTGAGCGAGCCAGTAGGACATCCTTCAGCTTGATGATGAATGACGGGGTCAGGTCCGGTGGTGGAGCAGTCACTTGGGCAGCCGCAGAGGCTCCCTGCCGATGCTGGCTTTGTCCGTGGCCCATTACATCTACAAATACCTTACCAGGTGTGTGCTCAAGGTAGTACAAATGAAGTCTTCACTCCTTGTTGATGAGTCCAAACCTGCAAGCATAAGAGGACCTGGTTTGGTCATGTGACAGCAGTCAAAAAGTAAAGCAGACATGTAAGAATGCATTCAAAACAGCCCTGATAACAAAACACTGAGCATGTAACATTGTCCCTGTAAAAACAGCCCACAAGCTCCCGCCAAATGAAATGTCCAAATCATTAGCACACAGCTTTAGATGGACAAATGTGCAAGCTGCACTAAAAGCATGACACTCAGGCAAAAACATAAAATCTTTCAGTGACTTGTCTGGTTTGCCACTCAGCTCGAGGACTTGGAAATGCTAGACCAAAGTTAACTTCAGGTAATGTTACGGATGCAACCATGTCATTAAAACTAACTTTGAGTGGGGTAAATCCTGCTGATATGATCTATCCCAATAATGGATTAACCAAAGCCAATGATGTAGCTATCATATCCTCAGGATAGGTTCAAATTAAGGAAATGAGATCATTTCAGCTGAGAGGGTCACACTTCATCCCAACAGGGGCCTTACATTTTTATTCAGAGGATCTGGCTAGTCCCAGGGCATAACTATGATACTCTGAATACCCATTTTTATTTTTGAGAAGCTCTATAAGTATCTTAATAGGTATTTTACTAGGTATCTTAATGACAAAAGGCACTCAGAGTTCAGTTGCAAGTTTGTGCAAAACCTCCAGATGATGGAGACCAGGCTGCACAAACACATGTTGTGCCAAATATAATGTGTTTGCATAATCAACACTAATTATAATGCATGGAGTCACTGTTTTCAGGGAGGTTTTGATGATATGAAGCCATTCCCAGAGCAAAAACACTAAGGCAACCTCTCACACATACAATTTGAGAATTTATATACTTTGGTCCTGACCCAGCTTAGGCCTGGCCAAATCATAACCAGCCTCTATTGGCTATGCTACTGACCTAATTACCATTAAATTCAAACCTATTCCTTGATGCATGCAGCTTTGTTAAATTCTGCATGTCAAACAACAAATAATGAGATGATGGCTACAGCACCTGTCAGTTGGGGAAAAATATCTGATAACATGGAGAGGGATCCAGCTGAGCACAATATTCCCATTCCCATCTTAACTTATGAATGCAGGCCAGATTGTGGATAGCACCCCTATACCCCCAAAAAAACAAAGGCCCAGCCACCCAATGACAAAACAACCAGGCAAATGTTTATTAAGCTCAGCTCCATTTAAGACATAAGAAATAGACCGATTCTAGAGCTGACGCCAAGTATGTCATATGTCAAAGACATACAAAATAGACCGATTCTAGAGCTGACTCCAATACTGTCATATGTCAAGACATACAAAATAGACCTTATTCTAGAGTTGACTCCAATTACTGTCCTATGTCAAAGACATACAAATAGACCGATTCTAAGAGCTGACTCCAATCCAGAGTCGATCACAAATCTCAAACACACCAACTCGTAACAAGAACATCTGGACCACCTTCGTGCCAAGCCCCACGGCCTTTCCCCACCCCAAAACAATCCTTTCCATTGGAATGTTGCCTCATAGTTGCCGCCACTTTGGTACCTTGGCCGCCAGTCAGTTGCCGCGTGATTTTCCTTCGGAAGGTGTCGGTAATAACAACATGATACACCATCCTATATTACTGGATTGTATCAGGCGAAGGACGTCCGCAATGCCCATAAAACCCTACATTTTGCAGACATTTAAACTGACACTTCTTTTAAACTTCCATTAGTAGAGTGAGGGCACCTGTATGTTGCCTTTCTATGCCTCTTTTTGGACTTTTT